ATTAGTTATATCAAAGGGTATCGAACAGAGTATGGTATGCATTACTCGGAATCCAGTGATCCACAGTGAGGACATCCTGCTGTTGTTGTTGTTGTTGCCATTACTCAAATCGACGTTGACAACGTAGCTGTGAACAAATAAGTATTGGGAACTCCAGACGGGCGCACGCCGAACTGAAATATAGGGGCCAAAGATAGGCTCCAACATGTCCGTCCCAGTCCAATGCTCCCAAGCAGACCTGCCACTCGAAGCGAAAGCGCGCATGCGCTCGGTCGGTCAATGGTGTGCATTAACCGCCTATATGGAATAATTGTGATGCCGTTGGAATATTACTCTTCCACGCATAACCCCCTCCAACAAGATCGGATCCAAGGTCGTCATCACCCTCCTGAGTGACAGACGGAAGTTCGACATACCGCGCCCGTTCAACGCTCCGCCTCGAGATTGATGATTGTTTCGCATTTTCATCGGGCGGTTTCTATCACGTGCGGCGCAAGATACTCTGCGAGTATTCAACCTCTACCAAATCACAAACCCCGACTCTACATCTGCCTTCAGCAGGTTTCAATGTTGATTTGTCATGCTTACAAGTAGGACGAATGACCATATATCCTCCTTCTACCATCACAGTTCATTTTACCTGTCATTCATTGATTCATGTTAAACCTCACGAAGGTACTTGTCACTTTCGCCTACTCTACCGCACTCACAGGCTCATTCACCGCATCGTCTAGGAATGTATCAGCTATGCTCGAGCTCGAGGAAAGTTTCGACTACCTCATCAAGGACAGCGGTAAGTGGAGGATCCTTTGCTACCGAACGTTTGGTCATTGTCAGGTATTAAGTATACACTGGAGGAACTCACACAACACCGTGAAGAGTTCATTACCGCATACCGCGCGGCATCCAAGGCGGCCGCTGGCAAACCGGTTATTGCTTCGGGCCCGAGTGGTGGTTTATCGGGATTATTCTCGATGTCTCGTCCAATGTTAATGGACAGTTTGGCGGATGCATTAAATCAAGGGCAGAAGACTTGGGTTGCTTCATCCAAGCAGGAGAGGTTCAAAGGTAAGCTACGATGTGGCCCTTGTTGTTGTGATGTTGTGTCGGTGTAGGTGCCTCCGTGTTCGATGTCAAAGCTCTTTGCGGAACAATTCTGAATGGGCCTTCGAAGTTGCCTAAGAAGCCTGCCAGTGAATCAACGGCTCTGAGTAACCTGCCCGATAGATTCGACGCACGAGAACACTTCAAAAACTGTGCCACTGTCATCGGCCATGTCAGGTTAGACTACACAGTCCTGCCACATGCTTTCTACTCTGTTACGTTAGGGATCAGTCCACCTGTGGTAGCTGTTGGGCTTTTGCGACGTCTGAAGCATTCAGCGATCGTCTGTGCATCCGCTCGAGTGGAGAGTTTGACCTGGTACCTCTTTCTGCTGGTCACACTGCGGCATGTTGCTCAGAAGCAGAAGGTTGCTTGTAGGACGCTTCTCATGGATGATCATGTTCACCCTTTGCGTCCTCAGTTCATTTGGTTGCGATGGTGGTCAACCTGATAGCGCATGGCGATGGTTCAGTGAGCATGGCGTAGTCTCAGGTAGGCTCCAGTGTGTCGGATAGTCTCAGCGATGATCACAGGTGGCGATTATCGAGCCGAATTGCAGACGTTTGCACCAGAGCTGGATTCTGGATGCTGGCCATATAACTTCCCGGAGTGCTCGCACCATGTCGAGACGAAAGGCATGGAGCCGTGCAAGGGGAACAGCCCTTCACCAGTTTGCTCCACTACGTGCCGCAATCATCATTTCAAACCATCGTTCGAGAGGTAAGCCAGCCATCTCTGTGGGTATGCCATGAATCTCTTCAAGCGATCGCCATTTCACCGAAGATGAAGGTTACAGCCTCGATGAAGTCGACGAGATAAAGAAGGAAATCATCGATAATGGGCCGGTGATCGTTCCTATCTCGACTAGCTTTTGTATATGATATTTTAGGTTGCAGCCGCATTTACTGTCTACGAAGATTTCCTATACTACAAGTCTGGCGTCTACAAGCATGTTAATGGCTCTGAGTTGGGTGGTCATGCAGTTAAAATAATTGGATGGGGCACTGACCAAAGTAGACCGCCGCCCTGTGAATCTGTTTGGTGATGTCGGTATGTATCAGATGAACAGTATTGGTTGGTTATGAACTCCTGGAACGTTAACTGGGGTGATCAGGGAATATTCAAGATCGCCATTGGTGAATGCGGAATCGATTCTGAGGTCACTGCCGGTATCCCCAAGTACGAGAGAACAAGCGGAGTGGAGCAATCTGAAATTATGCTATAATAAATTTCGCACCATCCAATCTACAACTTTTTGCCGTCGTAAAACCATGAATCTCAGTCAATTTCTCTAAGAAGTTCGCCGACTCGCGTTAAACTCCACTCTTCGTGGGAAATACTTCGTTAGTATATTCCGCTCAGTATGTAATACATACTATGTACAGTAGATTCCGTGCAGTCTTCGCAATGATCTTTCGATTTTTTAGCTCACTTAAACTATGACACGCCTCCGGTGGAGTGAAAGCCAGGAAGTTTTCACGAGCAA